CCATATATAAATGTGATGTATGTGTTTGTATGTATATATGTATAGGTATATATATATTTATGTATATGTTTGTGTGTAAATATATATATCTGTTTATAGGTAAGTATATATGTCATATATATATATATATATATAGGTAAGTATATATGTATTTGTATGTATATTTATATATATATGTATGTATGTATGTATGTATGTTTGTATGTATATATATATGTGTATGTATGTATATATGTATATATATATATATATCAACAATCTGTGTTTCAGAAAAATCTCAAGGTTTTTGTGTCTTTCAGCCGTATCAGGCTGTGGTATAATCTGTTTTTGTAAGTGTGCGAGTACTGTAAGGTTTTTGTAAATTATTTGCTGTGTACCAGTCCCGCTGTGCTTTGTGATTCATTCTCAAACATGCCTAGTAAGAAGACACCTCAAACCGAACGCATCTAATGGTGAGGATATTTAGAAGTACCGTGAAACGAACAATTCTATGAATCGTATAGCCGACACGACCAATTGATGCGTCATTCTGTTGACCACTCCCCACCGACGCTCCTTTCTCAGGCATGTTTGGGCAGTACACGGACGAGCCCAGCGCATTCGGAATGCAGATGAACATTTTGCAAGATGTGACGATTGTCACATACGTCACGCTTCTAGGATACCTCGCGTTCGCGCCTTGGGTCGAGTAAGCACTCACAAGAATACCGGTGCAGGATTCAACACACGATACTCATATCTTGACGTGACATCGATACTGAAATAGAGGTCCATGTATCAGTGGGTGGGTGCAAACAGCTCCACGTATTGCTTATTCGTCGACATTTGTTGCATATTTGCATACGTTACTATCATGTTGATATCACATAGATGGTGCTCAGTTGAACACTATTCAGACACACCTGACACTCCTCGCTGAAAGGCGTCTCGAACGTCTAGAACACTCAATAGTACGTGGATGTAAAACGCATTACTAATCAGGAGCATCATCCAAGTATATGACATGAGATACAAGTTAACCAGTTAACGATTCACAGACTAGCACAGTGTGGTGGCGGCTGCTCAAATCATGTATGTGCGACTTTTATATATACATTTTTAGTATATGAGTATATATATATATATATATATATATATATATATATATATATATATGTATGTATATATATATGTATGTGTAGATATGT